CGTAGCCAGTCCTAGGTCGTAGCTATGATATAGTGATCACTAATGTAGCCAGTCTGAGGACACAGCTATGATACAGTGATCACTAACGTAGCCAGTCCTAGGTCGCAGCTTTGATATAGTGATCACTAATGTAGCCAGACTGAGGACACAGCTATGATACAGTGATCACTAACGTAGCCAGTCCTAGGTCGCAGCTTTGAATTAGTGATCACTAACGTAGCCAGTCCTAGGACACAGCTATGATATAGTGATCACAAACATAGCCAGTACTAGGTCGCATCTATAATATAGCGATCACTAATACAGCCAGTTCAAGGTCACAGCTATGAAGTAGTGATCACTAACATAGCCAGTCCTAGGTCACAGCTATGATATAATGAGTACTATAGTGAAAAGAATACCATCCCCACTGTGCAGCATGGTGGCACTGGGAATTTTGTGAAAATTGGTGGCAAGATGAATGCAGCATGTTAAAAGAAAATACTGACAGACACTTTGCATTATTATGCACTAAGACTGGGCATGGGACGCTCTTTGACTTTTCACCATGACAATGACCCTTAGCACAAGGCCAGTGGTTACAGCAGAAAAAGGTGAAAGTTCTGGCGTGGCCATCACAGTCTCCTGACCTTAATATCATCGAGCCACTCTGGGGAGATCTCAAACATGCGGTTCATGCAAGATGACCAAAGACTTTGCGTGACCTGGAGGCATTTTGCCAAGATGAATGGGCAGCTATGGCACTTGCAAGAATTAGGGGCCTGTTAGACTATATTACAAAAGACTGCACACTGTCATTGATGCTAAAGGGGGCAATAATATTAAGTACTAAGGGTATGCAGACTTTTGAACATGGGTGTGGTGAAAGTAACCTCGCCACTGGCTCTTGGACTAGACCTTGGTTCAGGACAGTGGAAAGTTTTGTTCGTGCCTTTTCCCTGTCGTGATTCGGTATAAGGGGCTTACCGAATGGATTGTACTTATTCTGTCTGGTTACCGAACAGTTGGACCACCCAGAACAGGAGTGTGCAGCTCATTAGCTTCCCTGACTTATGTGGTTAGATGGGTGGCCATCGTTCGTATGTCTCGTTATTGGGGGATTTATTACCGACTGTGACGAGACCAATCTCGCCACATTGCATTGGAGAAGCCTGGTTGCTCGCCTGCTGCCTTTGGACTATGGCCCCCTTTTAAAAGACTTTATTTTTCCATGCAGAAAAGCCATATTCCTGCTTTTCTGCCGGTTGTTCGGTAGTTTCAATCTACCGAACAACCGTACGAATGACTGGACCACCTGGGAGCTGGAGTGTGCCGGCAATTAACCTCCCTGAAGCGGTTAACCGCAGCTTAATTGATGAATGCTGGGTGGCCCCCGTTCGTATCCCGAACACGAGGTCGCGGCCATTTTAAACCATACGAATGAACAGCAGTGTTCGCCTCTATTTTCATGGAACTAAAATCGGACACAGTTTTGCGCGTACACCGCTGAAGCCGCCGACCTCCCTTCTTGTTCGGTGAAAGCACACGAATGACCGGTGTTCGGTATTTTTTGTGTGAATGTCTTATACCCCAGATAGGAATCCCATGGAGCCCATTCGTATGAAACTGACTGTAAGGACTTTGGCTCCATGGCGATTAAACTGCATTCGTGTAGTCTGAGTGCCATTCACCTAATAATGTGCACTCAGACCTGAGCTATCTGGGGATGTGTTACATGCCTGTGTTTAATGTAGTAAATGTTACTTTGTACATTTTAAAGTATAATGCTGTTTTTGTGTTCCCACGTGTGTAATGGAGTTTTGCCTTTGTCTTGGGAGATAATTGAGTTACTTCCCAATTATCTCCCAGGGCAGAAGGGAGGAAGCCAGGATGCATTGTGGGAATATACTGTGACTGTGTGTCCTTTTTGTATACTTGTCTGTCCCTTGTCACAGTCTCCCATTTGGTCCCCTAGGGGAGTGTCCACCAGGTGGGAGACCTGCATAAAAGCTGGGCAGGTAGCCCTCATTAAACAGACCACTGCTTGACCCTCAACACGGAGCCTTGTCTCGTCTTTGGGGGGATTTACTGTATGCTGCTAAGGACTGATTGCCAGGAGTGTAAGCCGCTTGGAAGCTTTTCCTGTTCGCCTGCTAGCAGCTATTCGTATGGTTCCTGTTCGTTTATTTGAAGTGCTACCTTATTCCCTTGTATGCCGTTCGGGAGTTTGGAGCATTCACTTATTGGCGGTTCGTGAGTTTTGGTGATTATTCAGTAGCTGTGCCTGTCTCTGAAAAGGGGATTATCGTCTAAGCGGTTTTTTTCCCTTTTGTGCAAAACGGTCCGTTACAATTGGTG